TAAAAAATCGCACAACCCGCGAGTGAGTGACACGATTTGACTCCAGGGGTCTCGATGCCCTGACTTTGTTAACACAGGGGGTTTTGGTGAATTTTTTTTTGACAGGGGGTATTTGACAATTAGAGATAACACAGGGGTGGTATTTGCAATTAACTCTATATTTCACACATGAATGTTTACCCTTCTTCTTAATCTTATTTAAATAAATAAAAAACACGTGGACAAATACGTGTAAGGTCCATTTGGTGGATGAATTTAAAAGGGAATTTTATTAGGGAAGGAATTTGAAATTCACAATAACTATTCAAAAAACAATTAATAATTTGAGATAGACCACCCTTAATAATTTTATTCTACCATTTGAAATAAATTAACCTCGAATCACAGCCTCCATAAACTTCTCCATAGCCACCATCGTGGATCCACCCCTTGCCACCGCGGCGGCAGCGGAGTGTTTCAACTCCGTCACTCGGCGTCTCACCTCTCTCCCGGTGTCCGAGTCCATCAGCTCCCTCACTCTCTTCTCCACCTCAGCCGCCGTCACGAACCCGTCCTCCGTCTCCTCCTCCAGCGGCAGCGCCACCTTCATCTCCTCCACCATGAAAACCCGATTCATCCTCTGCTCCGCGTACAGCGGCCAACCAATCATCGGAACCCCAAACGACACCGCTTCCAGAAGCGAACACTGACCGCAGTGAGTCACGAAACCCCCCACCGATTCGTGACTCAGCACCTCCATCTGCGGCGCGTAACTCTTCAAAACCATTCCCCTATCTTTAGTTCTCTCCATGAAACCCTCCGGCAGCAACGCCTCCAAGTCCGTCTCTTCACGCGCCGCCGATCCCGGCGGAATACGCACTGCCCAGAGAAATCTATAACCGCTATTTTCCAAACCAAGCGCCATTTCTTTCAATTGTTTTCCCGAGAAAACCCCCCTTCTTCCAAAACAGAGGAACACGACGCTTTTAATCGGCTGTGAATCCAGCCACCGCAAGCACTCACTCTCTGCGTTGTTTTTTCCAGCGACGAAAGGTCCGAGTGAATAAACAGGCGGGGTTGTCCCACCTGGATTGCACAAACCGTTCGCCATTGCTTCAAAAGCTCTGAACTCGAGCGCGTGGTAACTGTTGACGACGATCCCAGCCGATCTGCGCATGTTCATGGAGGTGCTCACAAAGTGTTTGTAAGAATTACTCTGCCGATAGAACATCGACTTGGGGATATCCGACGAGTGGATCCGCGGGCACCCCGGGACTTCAATAAAACCCTCGAAATCGCCGGCGGGAGTTGTCTCGTGAATCGTCTGCCAGTAAAATATAGCGCATAGGCCGAATGCGCTGGTGGTGTTGCAGAAGTAAGTGGGTATATTCAAGCTCGTGCACACCTCGAATGAAGAGTTGCAGAAAAAATCGATGACGATTGCTTTGATGTTTGACTTCTGGGAGATTTCATCTAGGGTTTCTCGGAGGTTCTGGTTGTTGAGACGGGGGACTTCGAAGCAGAGTTCGACGGGGTGGGAGATTGGTGATGGGAGATCAGCGGGGGTGGGGAGGCGGCGGTAGGTGATGGAAGGAGCGGCGGCGATGGGAGCTGATGCGGCGGTGCCGATCAAGACGACGGAGATGGAGGGGCGGTGGTTGGCGATTGAGACGGCGAGAGCTGATAGGGAATTCAAGTGCTCCGTCGAACTGTAAAGAACTATGGTGTCTTCTTCCATTGATGAACTCTTTAATTTCAGAGTTAAAATATATTATTAATTACTAATGCTTTTCCCGTTTGTGTTGTTTTCTGTAAACAGAGTGCCTGGCTTTTATGGTACGTGATTATTATTTTTATTATAAGTATAAAAATATTTTCTAGTTGATTCAAGTTATCATTATAAATCATGTTAATATTTTATAGGTCATTTGATTTAACTATAATCCACATGCACACACGTGAATGTGTGCAAATTGAGTCATTTTGTTTTATTATATTATTAAATACCTTGGAGCCAACGATATAAGTTAGACATAAGAACCGGTTCGGTTAGAATCGGAATCAGATCAGGGTCAACGGTTTTAAAATCGAACCGGAACTGGTTTGACCGAAATTATCGAGAAAATCTGTTCGGTTCCCATTTTCTATTTTCAGAACCGAGAATCGGCGGTCTAATCGTTCGAACCGGTTTTTAAAAAAAGAATTATTTAAACGGCTGGTGTGTGTGTGTGTGTTTCAGTGCATTACTGCGTGAGAGAAAATGTACTTGGATCAATGAAGATATATATTTTGCCCACCACACCACACATATATATATTTAATCATATGCAGATCATTTCATCAAAATAAATTCAAGTGTAATTTTTAAAATTAATTATAAAGTCAAACAAACTTTAATATTGACAAAACGCTGTTTATAAGTATTAAAAGGGTAAATTACAAACACCCATGAGGTATGGTCAATTTACAAAAAAACCCCTCTTGTTTGGATAATTACATCTACCTCCCTCAATTATGATTTTTTCTTACACATCCACACCCTTATGGTGTCAAATTAAACATAGTTATCTAGATTTCGTGGAATGTGCTCTAGTTTGTACTCGTTTTGTGTAAAAATACAGTTTATGATGCACCATAATCTGATATATACAAGCCAAAAAACACATACTATGATCATCTTGCTTCAAAATGTAGAGTTCGAATGGGATAAAACGGGTATAGAAGTGATAATATTCCATATAATCTCGAAGATTCTACTAAATTTGAGAAGTTGAGGGGTGGATGTAATTATCCAAACAAGAGGGGGGTTTTCGTAATTTGACCATACCTCAGGGGTTGGTTGTAATATACCCTTAATAAAAAAGAGTGTAAATTTTTCGCACCAAGTTTATTGACTTATAAGAGTTGATTTTGATAATTATTTCAATATATAAAAGAAAAAAAATACCGGGGCTCAATCTACGAAATTTAATACAAATTTGTAAAAAAAATTAATTTATGTAAAAAAAAATATTTTTTAAAAGTAAAAAATTATTTGTTTACATATTTTAAAAAAAAAAAACTTTATTTTTTTAAGTCTTTGAAGTATTCTTTACCCTGTTTTTTTTTATAAATGAAGTATTTTTTAAGTATTTTTTTTAACATATATATATATATATATATATATATATATATATATATAAAATGACCAGTTCTACCTAGGGCTGGGCATTTGGGATCGGGATTCGGGATCCCGTCCCGTCCCGATCGGAATTTTACTATTTGGGACTAAAACTTCGGGAATTCGGGATTACGGGATTCAGGATTGGGATTAGGAACAAATACGGGATCGGTATTAGGGAATTGGTTCAATCCCGATCGGGATATTTTAATCCCGAATTAGGAAAAAAAGAATATATATATATATATATATATATATATATATATATATATACACATATATATATATATATATATATATATATATATATATATATATATATATATATATATATATATATATATATATATAGTGTCAAGGAAATGAGAAATACAATATAAAATATATTGTTTCACCTTATTTTTAAATTTTTAATATTTTATTTATTCCAAGTTTTGTGGTAAAAATTTATAAGACAAGAACAATAGTATGTATATAATATATTCAAGTTGGTTTAGTGTATAAAATAATACTAATGGAAAAAATATGCAATATTTCTTAGTTTTTA